CAGAGCGTTTACATTAAACACCCAGATGCCACTACTGTGTCACTGGTAGTCCCCACCGGACGAACTTGCTCTAACTACAAGGCAGGGCTCTCAGCCCTACTGATGACAGCACAGTATGTGAACAAGTTGCAAATCACCACAGGCAAGATGGTTTTTCTCACAGACTCACTGTAAGCCATACAGGCTCCTGAGTCCAAACCTACTGATGGCACACTACAAAGTCTAACAAAGGAACTTGCTGTGTTGTCAAAAAAGGCAGAAACTCACTTGCAGCGGATTCCATCTCACTGTAGCATCAGAGGCTGATGCTTTAGCCAAGGAAGGCAGTAACAAACCACAGGTCTACCAGCCACTATCTTTCCAGAAGTAAAAACTCTCATTAGGAGAAAATCAGAAACAGATTGGAAAATCAATGCTGATTATAATTATGAAAAAGATTTTCTCAAACACCTGAACAGAACAGACCAAGTCACAGTTTTTCGCTTACGTACTGGACACTTCAGACTCAAAAAACACTCATATAAATTAGGTATGAGCCAAACAGCTCTCTGCCAGTGTTTTCGTGCTAAACAGACTCCAGAACATGTCCTGCAAGATGTCCTCTCTTGGCGGAGCAACATGGCAACACCCACTAGACCTGACAACTAAGCTTTGGGGAAACCTAAGAGACCTTGAGATGACATCCCAGTTTATGGCCCACAGTGGATTATGCGCATGACCAGAGATTGCTGAAGAAAAAGAAGATTTAGCAGAGCTCTGTCGTCTGCAAAATCAAGGTCTTCCAATTATACGTTCTTTGCTCAGTCAATGCCGATGTTTACAACACATTTTTCATTCCCCAGTTAAAAGCTGTATTAAATAACAGGGGAGATTAAATACATCCCTCTTTCACTCCAGTTTCAACAGCAAATACATCCTAGTTTCACTCCAGTTTCAACTGCACCCAAATCACTTAAACCGTCATCTGTTTGCACTGCACACTTTGAGCCTTTAGACATTGCTTTAATAATGTTTATTTTTTTTCTGGTATAATAACGCATTCCAGAATTCCCCACAGGAATGTTCTGTGTAAACTGTTGAAAACATTTACTAAGAATAGGCTAGTATATACTTGCAAAACACATTTCGATTAGAATAAACGTGAAGTGCAAATGCCTTTAAATGAAAATGATGGTATATCATATTCCAGAATGCATTATGATAAAACATTTAATGTTCTAATTTATGACAAATCAAACAGCCACTTGGTTAAAGAAATAAGCTGCTAAGTTGTACTTGTTTCTGTTCTTTTGTTTTATAAATATCGTGTTTTGTTATTTTAGCTAACACATTGCTGTCTTCTGTTATTTATGATTTTGCTTTAACAGGAATCTAGTCTACCATCTCATGATATTCAGAGGATTACACCAGAAAGCAGAAGACTTGAACTAAAAGCCAGAATTTTATTTGATGAATTGTCTGCTTTAAGGTAATGAAAAATGAATTCTTTGTTGTTTTTTCATGTAAAGTCAAAATTTCGAAAACATGCATCTTTCTTTTAACAATATAAAAATGTGAGTTGTGTACTACTATCTTGGGAAGGGGGGGGGGGGTTAAGTCTTGTTTAATGGTGCAATAATTATAATAAATAATGATAATAATTTTTCTATGCTGAATATAAACATTATGAGATTCTATCTATATCCTCTTCATGTCGCTGTTGACACAAAGTATTCACAAGTGATCTCCATTGCTGCTTTTCTGCTCATGGTATCCCATGTCAGTTTACATTCCTTCATTTTCCGTTCAGTTGTCCTTCTCCAGATTTCCTTAGGTCGTCCACCTCTCCTTTTCTCATCTGCTGTCCACCTGAGAGGTTTTTGCTGGAGTGTCACAAGGCATTCTGCAAACATGTCCAAGCCATCTCCATAGTCTTACTTTGATATTTGCCAGTGATGCACATTCTGTTTTCCTTCTCGGTTCTTCATTTGTGATTTTGTTTGGCCAAAATATTTGTAGAATTCTCCTTAAACATTTATTTTGAAAAGTCTCAAGTTTATGTGTAATTCCCACTGTCATTTTCCAGCATTCACTGTTTTATAATAGTATCCTAAAATGTTGCTCTTGTATATTCTGAGTTTTGTCTTCAAACTAAATCCCTTTGACTTCCATATATTGTTAAACAAATGCTTGATTTGCTTTGTTTCTTCTTGATATTACATAACCTTTTCAGAATCTCCATCTCGAGTAACTTTACTTCTGAGGTACACAAATTCTTTGGTTAACTCAGCATGCAGTAAGTACAACATAAAGATCAATGCAAACAAAACTGAAACAATGCAAGTTAGTAGAACCCCTGCCCCACTACACATACAGTTGAAGGGTTCTGCTCTGAATCAAGTTAGGGAGTTTAAATATCTAAGAAATGATCACAGAAGATGGTAGAATTGACAGAGAAATAGCAACCAGATGTCATAAAGCAAGTGCACTTATATACCAATTATCACTATTATTAAGACATCCAAGCATGACTATGAGTGCAGAGAGACAGATTATTCACAGCATATTCATTCCAACATTAAGCTACCAGTGCCGAAAATGGACACTATCTAAAGCCCATATACGCAAAATCTTCACCTGTGAGATGAGGTGCCTGAGAAAAGCAGCCAACCTAACCATCCGAGATCAAGTAAATAATGAAACTATTAGGCAAATTGTGGCAATGACACCTTGTACTAGATTCATCGAGAAACAGCAGATACACGGGTTTGGCCATCTCGTTAGAATGCAGCAAAATCAAATAACTTCACCAGCACTACATTTCAGAATATCAAGAGGATGGCCTTGGAAGAGATGGATCGACAACATTAAAGACACTCTACGCCTTCACAGCATGACAATAGCCAGTGGCAGCCAACATGCACCGGATCGCAAATTATTTCTCCCCACGACTCTTAACTGCAGAAGTGGTTTATGGTGATGGTGATGATGATGCATTCTTCAAAGGTCATATAAACTGCACTATTCCATTCATTACTTTGTTTAATTATTTGACGACGCGTAAAGATGTGATCAATACATGATTTCCCCCTTTCTAAACCCTGCTTGTTCTTGCCTTATTATACTATCAAGTGCTTGAGTCATTCTTTTGAGAAATATGCGGCTAAAGATTTGACTAGTTACTGATAGTAATGTGATACCTCTCCAGGTGTTACAGTTTCCTAAATCTCCTTTCTTTGGTAATTTAATAATAGTACCCTTTTTCCGAACTTCCGGTGTAAACAGCAACAATGGCGGTACGCTTTTTCGTCCGTTGAGGCGAATGGCGCAAATTAGCTATTTTTGCTCACGTTTAATGTGAAAGTTTCATCGGAATGGGGTCTGAACCGTGCAATGGAGAACATGCACGTGAGTTTAGACTTCCCTCAGGGTGTATTTGACGTCCGATGGCGACTATTTACCAATTCAAAACAACCCGTAGACGGACAAGGAGAACGCGAACAGGCAAGCACGGTGGCGCCTGCAGGAAGCGACTGAAATGTGAGAGACTCAGTTTAAAGTATGTTCGTGTTCTTTACTGGAACTGCGCTTCGTTCAGTCAACGCCGACCCATTTTTGAGAAGCTCCTCTACAGCAACGACATTGTTGTCCTACAGGAAACACACCTCGGTGACGAGATCGTTAAAATTGCGGGCTTCCAATCCTTCTACAATAGATGGCACCTCTGACAGCTCATTCTTGTTCGTGACCACATACCGGTGTCTGAGGTGGACATGTCTGAGTGGAATAATGACGACTTACAAGTACACACAGTCAGAGTGATGGGCCCGGCCCAGTTTGTGATCGTCAATGTGTACGCCTGCAATGGAAAGGTGGATACAGCGAAATGGCAGAGTTTGCTCCAGACGGAGGAAAAGAAAGTCATTTACTGCGGAGATTTCAACGCCAGAGGAAACCAGTGGGGCAATGTAATCACTAATAAACAGGGGGAAGACCTGGAGGATGCCCTAGTGTCTGCCGATCTAGTATGCTTGAACGACGGAAAGGTTACCCGAATGGCAACACGACATGGGGATTCTGACAGCGTAATTGACCTGGCCCTAGTGTCTCCCTCCATTGCATCAGGATGCAGGTGGAGCACACTGGGATACCACGACAGTGATCACTTTCCTTGCGTCGCCCTGGTAGAGAAGAGCAACAACAAAGGTCATGCAATCAATGTGCCTGCTTTTATATATGACCGTACAGGGCAAGATGCCATTAGCAAAATCCGACGACGTAAAACAAGAGCAGATCGCAGACGGCGGGAGAGATGGGCCCAGCCACCATTGTGGAATGAAGTAGTCAACATGGCGTGGCTAGAAAAAAGGAAAGCTGTCAAGGCATGGCAAAAGGCAAGGAAAATTGATCCGTCACATTCTGAACGCCTGATCAGTCTGAAAGATGAGGTCAACAAGCAGACAGTGGCTTTCAAGTTAATTGCGAAGGAAGCTAAGACAGCGAAATGGAACGAATTCTGCAAGAGCGTTTGCTCCGAGGGATCTCTTGTGACATTCTGGCGCCTTCAACGGAGCATGCACGGCGCAGCACGACCAAGGGGTATCCCTGATTTTCAGGGTACAGACCTGATATGGCAGAGAACTGATGCTGATAAAGGAAAAACCCTTCTGGCGCGCTACTTGGAGCAAACTACCAAAAAGATGAAGCTACAAGAATAGGGGTTAAGATGAAACTGTCGATGCTGTGCGAGAACACTGTGCTAGGCACTGATCTCACAATCACTGCAGATACTTTAAGAACTTGCCTCAAGAAATCGCGCAGCACTGCTCCAGGCCCTGACGGCATCCGATACAACGACATGCTGATGATGTCGAATGCTGATTTGAAAAGCGTGGCAAAGGAATTCAATATCAGCATCCAGAGTTGCCAGATACAAGAGGAATGGCTCCATAGTTATTTTGTTCCCACTACCAAAGCCTAATAAAGACCACTCAAAGATCTGCGGCTACAGAATCATCTCGATGCAGAATACAGTTGGCAAACTTTTGGAAAAAATTGTCGCACAAAGATTGACCACCTACTTGGAACTACATGATAAGTTCCCACCAACACTTGGAGGGTACAGGTTAAATAAAGAGACATGGTTCAATGCTGCAGTTTTCGCCTACGATGTGTACGAGGGATTTCAGATTAAAGAAGAGACATGTGCGGCAGTGTTGGACTTAGAAGATGCCTACAATAAAGTACCATATGATTATTTAATGCAATTACTGCTTAAACTAGAAGTTAATCCTATTCTGATCCGCTGGATTGCTGCGGTCCTGTTCCAGAGAAAGATTGTACTAAGATGTGGTAGCTGGTCCTCTGAACCGCAAATGATATGTCCAGGCTTGCCACAGGGATCACCGCTATCACCAGTCTTATTCAACGTTTATACGGTGATGATCACTGAGCAGCAGTTGAATGGAAAGGGAAGGACTTTGTCATTTGCTGATGACATTTTGATTTATCGATGAGGGCGTGATAGACAGGAGATCGCCAGCACTATGCACAAAGAACTCGATCGAATTGCTGCCTGGTGTGATGGTTCCAATGCCTATGTCAATCCTTCGAAGGCATCAGTGTCATGGTTCTCTTTGAACAATCACATTGTCAAGTCGGACTTACCAGAAGTGAAAATACGTGATAATGTATTGATCAGAACCAACGTTGTGACGTTTCTCGAGGTGAGGTTCGATCGCAGCTTGTCATTCAGGGAACACGTTGACCATGTGATAACAAAAGCACGCAAAGGTCTATCTGCAATGAGGATAATGGCTGCTTCCAATATTGAGCAAAGACTACTAATACTTCTATTCTACGGTCTGGTACTTTCCCCCATTGAATACGCTCTGGCCATCCTCACTGTCAGTGCTACCCAGATTGAACGACTCGAAAAGGTGCAAAATGAAGCCATGCGCATTATTTTGGGATGTACAAGAGACACATCCTGTGGAGCAATGAGGTATCTACTTGACTTTCCAACAATGAACCAAAAGATCAGGATGTGGAGGGCTCAGGCATATCTCAAAATATGTGCTGATAAGAAACACCCACTGCATCAAGCGCTTTTTAGTGAAAAGGGCGACAGACTGAAGAGGGGGAAATCGTGGCTAGGTCGGGCAGAAGATGTTATTAGGCAAATATGCAGCCTAACCGACATCATACCTGGTGCAGAATGGATACCTGTGCCTCAGGCGTTTATTTGTACATTTTCCTGTATTGTCACACTCAACAGGCGATGTAGAGAAGAGAATCCTGTTGCTGTTAATGCAGAGGTCAACGCTCTCATCGGTGAAAATTCAGACGAAGCAGATGCAATAATCTATACAGACGGATCCGTTATACGCCAAAGAAGAAGCGCATGGGCATTTACAGCACGCTCAGCTGGCAGAACAGTCAAAGAAGCCAACGGCGCCTTTTCCATGACAACCAGCAGCATGACGATGGAGGTGATGGCAGTGACGCAAGCGTTTGCCTGGCTTGAAACACAAAAATACACCCGTGTATGTATACTCAGTGATTCAATGAGTATGATCCGGAGGATTCAGGCAGGTTCAGTGCGAAGACAATGGCTTGAATCATTACAGAAGTCCACTGTGCGTGGAGTCACCTTTATTTTTGTTCCGGGACACGCAGGCGTCGATGGAAATGAAAGAGCTGACAGGTTGGCTGGATCCGCTATCACTACCGACGGTCAGCCTATGGATCATGCTGATATTATCAATGCCCTCAGAGAAATGGGAAGGATAGAGGACTTTGGTGGCAGTGAATCCACATCACTCGCCAGAATGGCAGACTTGGGAATTAAGATCGGCACAGCAAAAAACGAGACGCACACCAGACACGCCAGAAGACTTGTTAATCAACATAGAACTGGTACTATTAGCCATCGGACGTTGGGGTTCATACTGAGGGGAGGATCTGAGCACCTATGGACATGTCCGGAGTGCAATGAGGATAACCCAACTAACTAACTAACTAACTAACTAACTAACTAACTAACTAACTAACCCTTTTTCCACTCCTTTGGGATTTCTTCTTTGTTCCAGATTTCTTAAAAAATCTTACACAATAGTTTTGGCGTTTCAGTTTCCTCCACTTTCAACATTTCTGGGTGCTCTGTTAACCCATTGAGCTTTAATCGCCTCCCTAACCTCTGCCTCTGAAAAAGGCTCTAGGCTTATCTGTAGGTCTTCCTGTGCCTCAGGTATATAAGTAAGTACAGGTGGGTCTGGACAGTTCCTGGAAGTGTTTTTTCCACCTTTCTAATTTTTCTTTCTTGGCTGCAATCATTTCCCCACTCTTTGTTTTTAAAGATAAGTTTTGGTGCAATCCAACATTTCCTTTCAGTTTCTTAGTTATTTTGTACAATGTTTTGGTGTCCTACTTATTTGCTGCTTTCTCTTCTTCTGTTACTAGTTTTCCAATGAACAAAACTTTATCTGCTTTTGCTCCTGCCTTTGCTATTCATTTTTCTTTAGTGCATATTCTTTAGAAAATGTTTCTTTCAGTCTGGCTGGTTTTGCATCTAACATTTGTCTTTTAACATCTTTCTGTTATTCTATTTTCTCCCACTTCTCTTTCTTTGACCACCTATATCCTGTTTTAGCTTTCTTTAGTTTTATCCTGATTTTTCCAGTAAGTAAATTATGGTCACTCCTTATATCCGCTGATCTACGTACTCTGACTTCTTGCAGGGAATGCCTCCATTTTTTATTTATAAGAATATGGTCAATTTGGTTTTCCGTGTGTCCATCTGGAGATCTCCATGTGACCTTATGAATTTTTTATGAGGTAAGAGTGTTCCTCCAATTATTAGGTCATTAGATTGGCTGAAGTCACATATTCTCTCTGTCATTAGATTAGCTGAAGTCACATATCTCTCTCTATCGGTCATTTTCCTGTTCCATGTTTTCCCATTGTTCTCTTCCTCCCTGCGTTGTCCTTTCCTGCCTGAGCATTAAAGGCTCCCAGGAATAATAATACATCATGCTTTGGCATGTCTTCTACTACTGTTTGCAGACTGTCATAAAAGCTGACTTTTGTCTCCTCTTCTGCTTATAACTAAAATCATTCACCGTCCTTTTTAGGATGACATTTTTCGTTATTTGAAGCCCCACCCTGGCTCTTGCCAGGGGCCACAATATAGCCAGGCCATAAATATGGCCTAATGGCTGAACGCGGTTTCTGGGACCTCTCCACGGTGATCCTCATCCACATAGTGGCACTTTGTGTCATCGAGTGTTTATCGTTTGTGTGATGTCCTGGTAGGGTAGAAAGTCAGTCCTCTTCTGCATCCTCTATTGGCGCAACAGACCAAGACAGATAATTTTGCAAATCTAGATTTGAACCTTGCATACGAAAGTCGTTCACTTACAGGCTTCCATTCTATAAGCGTGTTGTTGGACCCCTTTTTAATAAATTATTCGACTCCTTCAGTATGTTGTTCATCGGCTCTACCTGACCAGATTATGCTGTCTGTATTGATGTTTCTTTTTCCTGTCCCTGTCCAACGTGCTGTAATTCCTAAAATATGTGCATTGTGTAGGTGCATCTTATGAGGAACTTGTTCCACTTTTCCAGTTTGATACAGTGTTCTCACATTCCAACATCAAACACTTAAGGTGGTTTGGGAGAAAGAAGATTCACTGTCAGGCTGTTGACTTCCTTTCAGCTTTAATCCCCGACCGTAATTTCACCAAATATCTGGCAAGCTTCACTTCTTTTCACCGGTTCAATGATTTCACTTGTTTCTGTTTCTGTAACAAAGTATTCTTTTTACAGTAATGGATTGTCAACCCTTTGCCCAACCCCCAACCTGGAGGACCAGGGTGCTAATTTGGTCTGATTCTTCTTCCCAAGATCTGTACGGCATGTTTAAACCTGCCTATGGAACTAGTCTTCTGCCAGCATAGCTCTGAGAGACATTAGGGTACTCAAGCCATCCCACCACGACAAGACATCAGCACCATGGGATGGATGAGATGTATAAACAAAAACTTATAAAGAAAATATTTATATAAGTGAGGTGAGGGGTGATTTCCCTAAACAATCATTTTTTTGGGTGGGGTGGAGAGGAAGGAGCACTCAAGCTGCTTGAGTTCCCAGGTTCAAGCCTTTGCATTAATTGTCATCTCGAAAACAACACATAATAAAAGATTCCAGACTATGAGCTATGATAGCACAGTGGCTAGATGCTTGCCTGCTAGCTGAAGGATCTTGTGTTTAGATCCATGAGGTTGATTTGCTTTAATTGACTTGTCTCATATTGATCGCATCTAAAATGGCTTGTAAAAAATGTCCTAGGGAATAAAAGCATCATGAGTAATGTTGACCACATCACCTTTAGTGTTGATTGGTGTCACATAATGCTAGTGTCAGGTGCCTTTGTTGGGTTCCCCTAATGAACAAAAAGGCATTCTGAAGTAGTTTTAGTGTTGAAATGTTGGCTCACAGTGGTCTAGGTGAAATCCGGCAGCTCCAAAGAACATCCAACCTACTTCAGGGGTGAGGCAACTCAAATTATGGTACTACAGAATACATAAATGTTTCTAGGCGCAACTTGGCCTGACTTCCTCACTTCTATAGCTCCCAGACTATATAGTGCTAGTCAGAATAACACAGTATAACATGCAGTATAATACTACCACAAACACTCCAGACAACTAGGAACTGTGAAGGATGGACACTAACAGCAGAATGTTAGAATCACAAAACATCATGTAATCAGTGCAACGCTTGTAGGAATAAAAAGAAAGAATTCAGCAAGATCAATCACCACTGATAAAACAAAGAACAAGCTATGACAGATAATTGTCTGGGTTGTCCCTAGTAGCAGCCAAAATCATCACTGCTAAAATGGGGAACACTGGACCCAGGGAACTGGCACTTAGGTATAAGATTACTCGCAGGTGCTTGTGTTTTAACTTATCTGTCACAAAGTCCAGTTTACTTGAAAGAAGGCCTCCTAACATATCTGGTAAAGCGGGAATGACGACTGGTGAATTCTTTCTTGAAACTCATGGTTCATCAAATACAATAATGATGAATAGGAATGACTGTCTACACATTTACCCCACTGCTAAAGGCAGTGTTACTGGGTATTTCACAGAAGATGAGTCCGTGTTAAATTTAAAACATGTTACAGTCTAAACTTTATACCACCCACTTGTCGTGGCAGTTGTAGTCATTATGACCACATACAAGTCCTGGAGCATTGCAAATACAAGCTGGTGGGAAACATCATAGAATCAAAGGCAGTTGTTGACTGTGAAGTCACTGACATGATGCATGGGCAGGAATGAGTGGTATACAACAGCTTCCTCCTCCTGTTTACTGTATGTGGCTTACACCGGATAGTGCTAGGATACTGACTGTCGGCCTGGCTTCCAGACAAGGTTAAAATCCTGTGACAAAGAGGAAAACCAGAATTAGCAATCATCCACCACCCTACATACAAAGTTCCTCACTCCTC